TATATATATATATACATATATATATATTTATATATACATCTGACATGTGCCCCAAATGGCTACATTTTGCAAAAAACGATAGTATGACACATACGTCCGCAGCAATGCACTCGCTCCAGACACAATGATAAATCAGTGAAAACAGTCCTGCCTTGCCTACAGACAGCGTGTGGTTGAAGGGCGCCACCGCTAGTTCCTACTTTACTTTCCCTGTGTTGTTTCTGTCTGTTTGTCTTAATTTTCCCGAGCACTAAATGACCATTACTACTGTATCTATGAAGGCTACTTGTCTTTATTCAAACAAGCAAAACAATGACCCACAGACTATACATTCTCTATAACGCCTGACCATTAATAGACAAATGAGTCAGTATAGTTTTAGTAAGAGTTTTGTGGCACTTGCAACACAACAAGTGCCGAAGATCAGGTGTCACAAGAGAGTAACAAACACAAAAAAAGAAAGAGGAGAGATTCGGATGATAAAAGTTCGATAAGAAAAAGGGGCCAAACCACACCGTACCAGAGCACCCGCCAAACACCCGCAGCGAATCAGCGAAAACAGCCGCGTGAACAGAGAATGCACTCACTCCAGCTCCAAACCAGACAAATACGCACAAGTCATGTGAAGACAACCATGTCAGCTACACAATGTACTCGCTTTTGTTTCTAGACCGGGGATGCATACACACAAGTCATTTCTGACCAAACAGACACACAGTGAAGACAACAGAGCCAACAGGACAATGCACTCGCTCTCAGATAAACGGGCAAATCAGTTGTTGTTGTTCTTTAATGCACTTGAAGATCTTTAGGCCCTACGTCCCCATGGACACAATTGAGACAATTTAGGAGTCCCGTTGCTTTGAACCTGTCTGTCAGAGCAACCCAGGCTGAAAGGGACACAACACAACGTCACTGTAGTTAAGCCAAGCAGAGAAACTTGACTTTAAAAAAATTCCCAACACGGGAATCGGACTTCCATCTTCTAAGAGCGACAGCAAAAAGTCAGACCAACACTGAACGCTTTTTAAGCACGTACATGAGCTCTGTCAAGCGAGTCAGTCACAAAGGGGTTATCAGTTGATAAAATCACTTGCTCTTCTCCCTGGGTCAAAAGCGTCTGATTGTCTTAAAAAAGCTGGGCCATACATGGTTACTCTTTCTCTTCCCTGATGACTGATGCACCGTTGCGACTCGCATTGTTTCAATACGTTATCAAACCATCGAGACAATGTCGCGTTGTAGCAATTCACGCTGTGGATTCTGATTCTCCCTTGCACCCAAAACAACATAGGGCCTACATCCCTGTGACAGTAACAACTAATGACATTGTCAATAGGAAAATTGAACAAAATAACCATTAGACTGGCCTTAAGCAAAAACAGAAACATAATTTGAAAACTCAAAACAAAACAACAGTCATAATTTATAATTGTCTAGGACACTACATCCCACCTCAAAGAAGTTAATGCTCGATAAAATATGTTTTTCGCAAGGGGAATTAAACTTGTGTCTTCTGCAAGTAAGTAAGGCTAAGAACCTAATACTTACTCCATAGAAGCCATTTAACTGCACTGATGTGCCCTGAACTTAACAACCATCACGCCTATTACTGCATAAATGAGTGCAGCACCAGAAAAGGGGAAGGAAAAGAAATTTTGAAACAATCTGACAATGAGACAATTGTAATTCATTGTTTCAAGCAGTCAAATTATTTTTATTACAGATTATCAAAAGGAACGCGGTTTTTTTTATTACCTTGTCATGGGCCGGGTAAAACTGGTGAGAGTGTTGGCATACAAGGAAATCTTAACATAACATGGTATAGGTTTGTGCCCCTATCAACACTATCAGGTTATTTAGGAGGCAGGAACTCCAAGTTTAACATCCATCTCCCAAACGATGAAGCAAAATAGGAAATTCATGTAAAGTGCCTTTCTCAAGGACACAAAGTAGAACCAAACTGAGACTCCAACCCCCAAACCCGCAATCTCAGGATGATGAGTCCGGTAGCCTAACCACTAAGCTTGACTATTTATAACAAAAGCATTTAAATAAATTCGTCTTGACTGTTTACAACAAAATTTAAATAACAGAAACAGACTCCGCTTTCTAACAAGTACAAGAGTGTCACCAATGTCTCTATTAGGGCCCATACTATTGTATCATGGGGATACAGAAAAAAAATCTTTATAAAACACCCCCCACCACAAAAACAAAACATGAGAAAAACACACACATACAAGCAAAAGTCAAAAAGAATAAAGCATACTCACCACAAGCCCACTTTGAGCGAAGGCAAAGGCAATCGTCAGGTAGTTGGAGCCTATGAAGGCTTTCACCATGTTTGCAAAATCACTGAGCAGTACATTGCAGCTTGGCTTACTCCTAGGAAAATTGAAGTCAAAATGCTTTACCATTGGGTAAACAAGGGCCAAAAGAAGAGAAAATAATCTTTGTTTGATCATGACTGCAACACAACACCAAGCCACTAGAAAGAACAATTGCAAACAACAAACAGCGCTAACTGAGACAGAATTAAAATAAAGAATCTTATGGCTCTCTATCAATCTCCCTGTTGTTTGCAATGAAAATACAAGCTGTCCTGCTGTTTCACCACATCAGCCACATAACAAAGCCGTTGCATTGCATCCAATATCATCATGAACTGTAATAGATCACACAATAATTTATGGAAATTATACTACTCAACATTCCACATAAATTGAGTAAAAAGGTGGCATTCCCCTGACTTGAATGCTATACTACCACCAATAAATTCAAAGTTTGGTGACCTCAACAATCAAAGTGATTTTAAGTGCAGATATAATTTAGTGAAAACACTAGCCTTTTCATTCAGTGAAAAGAAAAGCAATTGGGTAACAAGAGAAATTCAAATACAAAACTTTATAAAAGACATAATATTGAAAAGATAATGTTTAAAATTTCATTTACTGCTCATTTTCACAAAGAAAGTGCTCAGGTCTCTCTCTCTCTCCCTCTCCCTCTCCCTCTCCCT